GCGCTGACTTCAGTACATGTTTGTAAGGGTGATGGTGGATAACGTCGCATGTCAACTATTAGTTCGAATAATTAACATAATTGAATAATATGGCAATATTTTAAATGTATTGTTTTAAATAAAGTATAATATAATATGGATTTTGAAATATTTAAACGATAGATGATATGTATTGTAAAGATACCTTTAACATAAAATATAATCGCTGTCGTTAGATGTATAGGTGATCATTTTTTACTTTTCAAAATAAACTTTTTGCTTTTAAATAGAGGTATTTTTTGAGCAGCTACAGAGGCCATGCAAAATGTATCTTCCTATCTGTGCCTGTGTAAAGTTTACGACCATAGCAAAAGTCAGATAATGACGATTTCACAGCTAGATTTGCTCCATATGTGAAAACAGCATTTGTGTTTACACACACTTTTTAAATGAAGCACACCATAGCCTAATGGTAGTAAAGGGCTCAGTTCTCGAATTACACATGTGAAACAGGATGCTTGGGTCCACAGAGGCACAGACCTGCCTGTCCCGAACCATCTTTAATGACTGAATACAATCGAGGGTCTTTCTCTGAAAATATTTTTCTAAAAGATACATTAACTTCATCTAAATATTTGAGACGCTGTTTGAGGTAACAAGCAAACACACAAGCTCCTTCGCATCCGTTTAAAACAAGATATATATTTTTCATTTTATTTTTAAACACACCGAAAGACTTTGGCAACATGTTTCATCGTGTGTGTGTGAGTGTGTGTGTGTGTGTGTGTGTGTGTGTGTGTGTGTGTGTGTGTGAGAGAGAGAGAGGGGATTAAAACTTTGAAGATTATGCTTAAAATAAGAAACTTTTAAAGAATCTAAAGTGTTTGATGTTAAATAAATCTAATATACATTATACTTTAGTTGAAATTTAAGAACCGCCGGACATCAGATTTAGTAGGGATACTGCTTATTTAAACTTTACATTAATGTTATGCTGTGAAATAGACATAGCCCATTTACTTAGATCATGCGGTCTGGAACACCTCTCTCACTGTGAGGGGCTGAAGCAGTCCATCAGTTTCACATAGGAGAATAGCCCTAGAGGACCTGCGAGATTTTGTTTACGATTCAAATTAAACTAAATGTATTTTTGTAAATCACTCATTCATATTTGGACATCTTAGCACTCTAAAAATGTAAGGCATCATTTTTCATATTTATTGTGACCTAAAAGCTACTATGATGTCATTTATTTTATTATTTAAAATAGAGATAAGACTCTAGCGCGAAATGTTTATGTATGTGTGTGCTTGTTTATATGACTTATAAAGGGAAGTCGTGGCCTAATGGTTAAAGAGTCGGACTCATAACCCAAAGGTTGTGGGTTTGAGTCTCGTACCGGCAGGGATTGTAGGTGGGGGGAGTGAATGTACAGCGCTCTCTCCCACCTTCAATACCACGACTGAGGTGCCCTTGAGCAAGGCACCGAACCCCCAACTGCTCCCCGGGCGCCGCAGCATAAATGGCTGCCCACTGCTCTGGGTGTGTGTTCACGGTGTGTGTGTGTGTTCACTGCTGTGTGTGTGCACTTTGGATGGGTAAATGCAGAGCACTAATTCCGAGTATGGGTCACCATACTTGGCCACGTCACTTCACTCACTTATCAGGATACAAATTTGTATAATTACTCTGATATATCAACGTAAATTTAGTTTATGATGACATTTCTGAGTTTTGAGTCCTCATAATTAAGATAGCTTACAAATAATATGAAATAAAAAATGTAAGTATGTGCAGAATTTTTGTGCGATGTGTAGGCATATGTGTGTGAGCGTGTGTGTGTGTGTGTGTCAGCACAACCACCTCAGACATTTCACTTCTGTTAGTGAGAAGAGCTCAAAGCATGATTTAATTGTCCAACTTATGTACAATTTGTAAACACTTTCCTCGAGGGTATGAACGTCATTGGCCCCAGAATAATATAAAGTGTTTTTATTGTGAAATTAAACTATAGTAAATGTTTATTTTTTATAAAGTATGTTATGTATAATCACTGGTACACTGGACATGTTTAGAATAATATAAAGTGTTTTTATTGTGAAATTAAACTATAGTAAATGTTTATTTTTTATAAAGTATGTTATGTATAATCACTGGTGCACTGGAGATGTTTTGACATGATTGTACATGTTTGTGTTTTTGCGAAAACGACGTTTATGCGTAGTTAGTGAAAAACTAAAATTTTTGTTTTAAAATGCTTGTTTAAAATGTGTTTTATAAGTTCAATAAACATAAATGGAATGTTGAATACATGATTAAAATGTATGATAAATGATTTTATGAATGAATGTTTGTTACTACGATGTGTTTTATAAGTTCAATAAGCTTAAATAAATGTTGAATAGCTGTTTAAAATGAATGATTTGCTGTCATAATCTTTAAAATGGGGATAAGTCTTTTTTAGCCTGTAATGTGTGTGTGTGTGTGTGTGTGTGTGTGTGCTTTGTAGACAGACCAGAAGCAGCTCTAAAGTACATCGCAATCTCAGTTTAAACACTCTCTTGTAGAAGGACTTTCCTT